TTCTGTTATTTCACCTTCCACACCACGAGTCAAATTCAAGGCCCACAGAGAGCTTCAAAGATGAATTAATGTTTTAATACATGCATTTGCCTTTTTAAAGCCAACATTGACCAAAAAATACATCTCCTATAATGCATGTTGATTATTTTACCTGCAAGAAGATTACATCCCACCACTAGGTGGAGATGTTCAAGGTTCAAAAGTAGTCAAAATTGCCTATATGTCACGGACATCCGGCCCAGCACTGGATGCCACTCCCAGCACTTCCAGTTCACGGTCAACACAGTGTTAGCGAAAGATTTTTCCACCTGACGACTCTTAATKATCTCCACAGTACAGAATTAGCATAGTACATGTACCAACATTAACACAGGAGACGTACAGGTCCAGCCAAGTGGAAAAAAAATCACTCCAAAGTGGATTAAAGCCATAAAAACAAAAGAAAGACGTTTGTGTTTATGGTTCCAGAATTTAGCCTTTTTTGCTATTCCGTGGCTGCTTGTTSCGTGAATTTTTCACGTAGAGCTGTGACACTTATATTGTTGGAAAGAGCAGAGTCTGGGCTTTAAGTTGATGGGCTACTTTTTCCCCGATGTTGGTGAACTGAAAACATAATGATTATCAGGCGGAGGTTCTGCTGCTCTCGGTGCTCGGGGGGAGGGGGGGCGCTCGTCAGTCAGCTTTAGTCTACGTTGTAATATACACTCTAACAAGGTTTTACTTTTGCATAAAACTCATGAAAAAGTCGCATAAAAATTTCACATAACAAACGCGCACACACCTACCTTTGTACCGGCTGCTGTTAGCTTCCTGCTAGCTGTCTTGTGAAGGTGGTCTTTCCTCTCTCAGTCTTGGCAGTAAAAGGGGATAAATGTACRTTTMCCTTTTGTAACCTCCGTCTTCTCATTTCTGATGCTGGCTCTTGAATATCCTCAGGTTAGAAATGCTGATTACAAACGTAAGCGTGAGCTTTTTAAGATAAGATTTCCCTGTAATGCTATGATCCTCTGCTGTCACCTCCTCCTCACCTAAAGGAAAAAGGAGAAAAATTAACTACTCGATCGTACCTGCTGGTTAGTGGACATAACGGCACACAACAGAACTCATGTTTTATACCAGTAGATCACAGATGCTTTAACTTTTGTGACTTTTTCATGGACTAGTACCAGCAGCTAGCGCTTAAAACATAGGCAGTAAGCAGGGAGTGGAAGGGAGGAGCGTGGCAAGAATTTTACCGGAAATACGTCATTAATGACCGTGGCAGATAGGCTATTTGCCAAGTAAAATCTACATTTCTTTTTTTTCTATTTTTTGAGTCACTTCAGTAGAAAACGAAACCAAATATTAGTTTATTTAGTTTATTTATTTCTTCATCATCAGTGACTTTTTTAAGTGAAGAGAAAACAGAGAGAGAGAAAAACAGAGAGAGAACTAATTAGTAAGATAGAAAGATTGAAATAGCGATTAAAAGTCTATTAAATATACACCAACAAAACACAGGACCACACACCCAACATCTGTCCGCTCACCTGAAAAATAAATGAACTTTACAAGGCGAAGAAATACAGCAAAGAATGCGGAAGGCAAAATTAGAGTTCAATGAATACATAGACAAAAAAATTCTTGATACAACACTTGACTACAAATTCACGTAGATTATATAATTTAATAGACTATTCATACAGTAAAAATATTGAAATGACTATTGTCTCTACATGCAGAAAAAGCATTTGATAGAGTAAATTGTAAAATCTACATTTCACTCATTTTCTCTGGCTACTTTTGCTGCAGCCCAGTTGTACTGGGAAGTTGGAATTTTCCACTTATAAGTCGTAAATTTAAACTGAAACACCCTTCCAGTGGGAATTCCCTGTCGGGAAGTGGGACAGTTCAATATTCAAGCAGCAGCTACTCACTATACCTCAACAGTGAGTAAAACACTTTTCCTTTTAATAGCATTTCTGCATTATATACTCCACTTAGTAGTGCATGCACTACTTTTCAGTGTTTATAAGAGGACTTGTTAAAATGCTGTTTCTATGCAGGAAATACCATGTAGAGCTCACTTATTGTTTTTTTAGCTGTGCTTGGTCATTTTATTGTAGTAGTATTTCAGGTGATGCAGGTTGGCATTTAGCTCTCAAATATGTTTGACCAATTCTGTTTCAACATGTGTTTTTTTTAAGTAAAGTAACTCTGTTTCTAAGTGCACTTGGACTGATGAGTCAGCACACACAAGGCCTTCCACATGATGGCTGCTGAAAATCTTAAAAGTGTTGGAAATTATTCATGTGTTGGAAAAAGATGCAGGGTATTCTGCTTTATCCAGAGCTTCTGCCACAAATTTCCGATGTGTTCTGTGTGCCGACCCGACTGCTCACACTACATTAATGTCTGACAATGAAGGTGGATTTGATGTGAAAATATTTGTTTTATTCCAGCATTTCTCTCTGCTGAGGAAGCAAAGTGATCTCAGACTGTTTTCCCACCACAAGCTTCCAGTATTTATTTCTATAAACTAACATCATCTAACTGCTGCGTGTTTAAGTTTTGTTCTTTTTTCTTTAGCTGAGAGAATGTGAGCACTGAACTGCTTGGTTTGTATGATTGTGGTTGAAGATAAAAAGTGAGCAAATTTAGGTCATGATTGCAATTTTCAACAATATTGTTTATTTAACTTATTCAGTGTTCAAATTCAGATAAGACATTTTGTACATTTCACTGCACAGAATAGTTTTCTACTTTTTCATGTTTCAGCTAAATTCACACAACTGAAAGCTGTTCCCATGACTCTGTRAACAAATAAAATAGCTGCAGATCTGACTGTTTGCACAAAAATATCAAGATAAAATGAGACAAATGCTGTGAAAAACCCCTTTCTCTGAAATGTTCCAACAAAAAGAGGCAAAAGGACTGCTACAGCAGCTGAAGAAATTAATTTGAGTTTTGTGAAAAAACGTTTTTCAAAATAAAAGTTTTCTCTCAAATATTATATGGCTGAGCTTTAGCAGACATCTGCCTATCAGAATAAATCCCAGTCTCTGCTCTCACCAGAAGAGGGCGCTGTATGTCTCTTTAAAGAAAATGTTTCATGCAGGCTTACTGCATGAGGGAAAGGAGAAAGAAATGAAAAATAATTCTGAAGAAACCTTTTCAGGAAACACACAAACGTTAAAGAACCGAAAAGCCATTGCAGCCTTTAGGTCACGTGTCAAACTCAAGGCCTGCGGGCCAAACGCCACAGCGTTTTATGTGACTCRTAAGAGCTTTAAAGATGTATTAATGCCTTTAAAATAAGCTGCTTCAAAGCCAGGATTGATCATAAACTACATCTCCAATAATGCGTGTTGATTATTCTACCTGCAAAATGACAGCATTCCAGGTGGAGGTGCACAGGGTTAAAAAGTAGCAAACAGCAGGTGAAATTCACAGTGTAAATTCGTCTTATCACTGCATTTTCTCTGACCAGCTCTGGGATTGTGGTGGGATTTCAAAATGTTTAAATGTAAGCAAAACTCTGCACTCAAAAATAGTTTTGCTGGTGTAAAGTGTGGGTAAATGGCAACAAACAGCGTGTGTTGTGGTTCCTGAGCTGTTGGCCCTGGCCTTGGTTTCATTATGACATGAGATGTGGTTAGTGTAAAATAAAAACACAACCCTGAGCCATGTGCTTCAAACTGCTTTGCAAGACTTAAAAACATTTGAAAGGACCAGCTGAGGCCTGGATTGCTTTCTTAAAGCCAGAAATAAACCACTATCTGAACCGAACAGAATTTTATCAGCACTCATGWTTGTGCCGCTGTCATGGGAATCAAAATGTTTTGTTTTGTTTGTCACAAGGACTGGCTAGTCCACACTCTGTATGAGAGATGGTTTCTCAAAACACTCTGATCCATGAGTAATACCCTGTTGGTCAGCTTTACCCAGCACACATCTGATGTTACAATAAAGAGGAAGACACAGAGTTACACTTAGTGAAATACTTTATTAGTCATCTCACCACACCTGGAAATAATAATAATAATATCCATTGCAGTCTTATATACATATATTACATTACATTACATATATACATATATTAC